TCGGGCTTTTAATTGCTTGGGATGATAATTTGCTGGCTTTACCTTCAGACCAGAGATGGTCTCACCAAGAAATCGTTGAACCCACTAGGATAATAAGACACTGGACTTTATGCTTGGTAAATACTTCCAATGAAAGAACCTCAACTGAATTTGAACTGTAGTAATGCAACACGGTGGAGAAATCCACCATGGGGAGAGGGTTCGGGGAGAGGTGGGGGGTATCCCAGTGCCCATAACACTGTGTCACATAATGCAATGTAATAATAATAAAAAAAGGATCCATCAGTCCAGGCCCTGGGTGGGCCACACCCACCCCAAACCAGGCCACTCTCACCTTGAGTCTGCTTCCCAGGTCTTTTGCCTGCCACCCAGACCTACAAAAGGTTTCTTGCTCCTGCAGGGTGCAGAGTGGGCCCACCACAGAGCCAGGTTCTAGGAACTACAGATGGGTCACACTGAGCATTTGCTGTCAGCACTCCCAAGGCCCAGGGCCTCTGGGACCATGTCTCGGGGTGGGGTGAGAATGGAGGGAAGGTGCAGAATGGGGGACAATTTCACTCTGCAGCCTGCAGGTGCAATGAGCCATTTGCAGGTCCTGCTCTATGACGGGTGGCAGACAGCCCCTTGACAGCAGGTGCAGACGGTGGAGATAACTGCACGTGGATGCTGACCACAGCTGGGTCCTGCATGGGGGACACAGGGGTCCATAGCCTCTTCCTCCGGCTCCACTGGAGTCCCCTGACCCCCAGCCATGGAGCGAACAGGTGAGGCAGTGGGAGCCAAGAGGCCAAGAAGGAGGATGTCTCAGGCAGCCCATGAAGCCTAGAGAAGCATAGGGGGCTGTGAACTGTGTGGGTGTTAAACCGCTCTGCTTGAAGCTGTCCTCGATGGCCTGCTGGAGGGTGGTCCTATCCACCCACACTCACACACCAGCTTGGGGCCTGAGGCAGTGATGCAGGGGCCCCTATGCACCAGCTACACCCACTGCTTGGCATCCTCTGAACACACCCTACCCAGGCCCTGCTCCCACCCACCCCTCCTTACCTCTCTCATCAGAACAAATGGTGTCCCTTTGATGAAGGCATCCAGGCTTTCCTCTCTACCCCACCGAAACCCCTAGGGCCTGCTGCCTTCGCTTCTGCCTTCTTCCTTTCCGAGTTGTGGTCCCACTGCAGGGGCCTGGCCCTTCCTGTGCTAGGGGGGCAGTGGCTGAGCTGTGGCCTGAGTCCCCCTGCCTAGCACCCCGCTCCTGCTCCCAACCAGCCTGCCTTGCCATCAGGAGCCACCTGATGTTGAGCTGAGCCTCTGCTGGTCACACTGAGGATGCAGTTAACACTCAGCTGATGCCCCCTGGGGATGCCGAGAGCTGGCTCAAGGCTCAGAGGGAGGTCTGCTGGGGCTTCTGTCCCACCTGGTCACTAACTGCTGTGCAGCCGAGGCCCTGGCGCTTCCCTCTCTCTGAGCCTCCGCTCCTCATAAATAACACAGATGCTGGTCCCTAATCCTCAGAGGGGCTGTAAGAATGAAGCCAACCCGTGTACAGGCCGGGAGAGGGTCTGGAGTTGCCTGGTGCCACACAGCAGGGAGAGTTCAGAAAGCAGCTGACCTGCAATGGACCCTGGGGCGCTGGGGACTCAGGGTGGGACCTGCGCCCTGCTAGCGTCTGTGACCTCCAGGTGGCAGCCCCCTCCGCTGTCCTCTGACCTGCCCTTGGGGGTGGGGGAAGCCTTATCTGTCCGGTCTCTCCTTTCCCACCAGACTAATCTCTCCTTTCTTCCAAGAGTTCCTGTTTCCTTCTGTTGCCGCCTTCTTGTCTCTCTCCCCAGGCACGCCTCCCCCCACTCCCTCCAGGCAGCCTCCCCTCCCACACAGCCTCAGATTTGAGCAGCGCAGTACCCGGCAGGGGGTGGATAGTTTCCATGCCTCCAGGTTCCTCCAGAGGCTGGCTGGAGCAGGGGTGGGGGAGGGAGAGACAATTCCTGCTGGGACAAGAATTCAGCCACCAGGATCTGTCCCAGGCTGGCTTCTAGGCAGGCATGGAAGGACTTTTCTGGAGGATTTTGGAGGATCCCAAGGCGCCAGAAGGAGGTCCCATGTTACGGGGGAAACCCGGGATAGGGCATGCACACCTGCCTGAGGCCAGTCCCCACTCCAGAGCAGAATTTTGACCCAGCCCAGTTCCCCCTGTCCCCTCAGCTGCACCTGTCTCATCATAACCCCAGCCAACCAGAAGGGGGCAGGGCTTCCTCACAGGACTAGGGCTGGGCAGTGACAGGAGCCCGGCCAGGGTTCCCTCTTAAGCCTGTGGGAGCTCCCCTCCTGGCCCAGGAAAGAGCTGGGTTCACACACACACAGCCTGGCCTGCATTGGCGCTCTCTCCTCTCACAGCCTCAGCTTCCGCGGTGGTTGCCTTGGACGCCCACACCCGCGGGTGGGTGCCTGGGAGGGTGCTTGGGATAGGCACGTGGCCGGTGTACAGTTAAGTGGCAGCATTCAGCTCATGTGTCCTTCTCTTCTGGGGTCCAGTTGTCCCTCTCCACTTGCTTGTTCTGGGTCAAATGACGTCCCCCTCACAATCAACACTGTCTCCTCAGCCTTGTGTGTGCCACCCTTGGATCCCAGGCCCCAGGGGAAGCCCCGGGTGGCGAAGACATGTTACAGACATAACACAGAACCTCTAAACCTTGGCTGGAGACAATGCGGGGTGGGGGGCAGCGTGGCAGAGAGCACAAGGACTGTAGGAACTCAGAGGTGGTCCCTGACCCAGGCTGAGGGTAGCCAGGGAGGGCTTCCTGGAGAAGGGGGCCCCTTGAGGACCAAAAGACATTGGCTGGCCCCTTGAGGCTCTGTAAAGGTTCACAGGGCTTAAAGACTCTCACAGGGTGGTGACATACCAGGTCAGAGAGAACAACAGGGGCCCTGAGCAGGTGAATGGCTTGCCTGTGAGAGCTGGAGCAGAGAGCAGGCCTAGTGAGTCACTGGACAGGACACGTCCAGTGTGCAGGGGCAGTGTGCAGAGTCACTGTTGGGGGGCCCCACAGGCTCCACACCCACCCCCAGCCCTTTATCAGTTTGGTGACCACAGGAAAGGCCCCTCCCACTTCAGAGTTTCCTGTGCAAACCAGACTCACAGGAGACCACAGGACTGCTCCTGTTGTGTCTCCCACCCTGGGTTCTATCCCGACCCAGCAGCTTCCAGGCAGAACAACAACAACAAAAAAAAACCACTGCCTTCTCACTCCCACGAGCCATCCAGCAGCCAGCCCTGGGGGCCCACATCTGTCCATGCCATCCCACCCCCAGGAATGCCTGCCGCACCCTCCTCCCCACCACCCGCATCCTGCCCAGACTCCTCTCTTCCTCTCTGCCCTTCCCCGTGTGGTGTTTGGCCTCAGTTTACCACCTTCTGTTAGATCCTGCGACTTGGGCAGTCACCCCATGGGCAGAGCAAGATCCAGGCAATTGATCACTAACTCTCCTGGTGTGGGGGCTACTGTGGCCAGGCACTGAGGGCACCCCACCTGTCACTCCCTTATCAGGACCGCTTCTTGCCCGGAGGCTCAACTGGGGAGGCACCCCAACACAAGGTTCCCCCTCCTTCCGAGTCCAGCCACTCCCAGCTCCTCTTGCCTGTACTCTGGTCCTCTTCCCCTCCCCAGTCTTCAAGGTGAAGCTAGTCCGTCCCTGCACCCCATCCTCCCTGTTTTGGTCTCCTGCCAGTTCCCTTAATGATGATACCCAAATATACATCACAGCCCTTGACTCAAGGGTCAGACCAGCTTGGAGCTCAATCTGCATGGTGGTCGTCACGTGTCCAGGGCTGAGCCCCAGGCCAGAGCCTCTGTCCTTCCAGTGGCTCCAGCCAAAACCCAGGCATTCTCCCCACGTGCAGAAAGAGGACAAATCCTGTTGCCTCCACCTTCAAAATGGAACCAGCAGCCAAGTCTTCCTCACCACTCCAGCCTCAATCGCCACCCCCTCTCCCTGGTTTTACAATGAGAAAACCGAGTCTGGGGACGGGGGCTTCCCCAGACTCACACAGGAACCCCACCAGGGGCAGCTGCAATCCAGCCTGCCTCCATGTCCCCCAAAATCAGGGAGTGGGGTTTCCTTTGCAGGGAGCTGAGCAGGCTCTGCTCACGCGGCCACATGTGTGAGGAACCAAGATGCTGCCAACCAGGCTTAAGTTTCAAGACATCTGTGCTTGCCCTTGACCAAAAGATCTGAAGCAGGGAAAGCCAGGGCGGGTCCCGGGGTGTGGGGGGCGGTGCAGAGGCATCAGTCGGAGGCCGCCTTGTCTTGGAAACCAACTGCGGATTTCCTGCCAGCCTTGGGATCCACTGAGTTCAGTGGAGACAGCCAGGCCCTGTAGGGGAGCGGGCTGGGGAGAGCAAGGCGTGTGCTTAGCACTGATTTCATACAGCTGTTTTGAGGCTTGTTGTTTAAAATAGAGATCATCATATATATTTATATATTTATATACACATATAAAATATATAAAGAGGAGTTGAGGCCAAGCCACCCCAAAGAAAAAGCAACGATTTATAAATATTTCCGTAGCTCCCACATCCCAGAGGAAGAAAAGGAAAAAAAAAATGTACAACCCAAGCTAGTGGTTCCATGTGGTGGGCCCAGCAGGCTCAGACCCTGGGCTGGGGGACAGGGTGCTGTGCACACCCATGCCTTCCCTGGATTCTCTGCCTGGTCCTGGAAGGTCAAGTCCGTCCCCGTCTCACAGGTACTGGGCCTGCCGTCTCAGATCAGCCTGCAAGGCGGCACGTGGGCACTCCAGGTTATTTTTAATCCCAGCGGCATCCTTTGATGTCCAGGCCCTCCTTCCAGCATGGCCAGGTTTCCGGTCACTGGTGGCTTCCAAGGAGAGGCTGAGCCACATTCCCTGGGCGCCCGCGTGGCATCTGGAATTCACACGTGAGAATCCTTGGGGCGGGGCACCTTGGGGCGGAGAGAGACTGGCCCCAGCTGCCCAGCGTGGGTGCAAGGAGCGGGTGCGGGCATGGGCTCCCGTGGGCACAGGCGTGGGCAGGCCTCATTTGCACACATAGCGCTCCACAGTACGCTCACAGCGGCGACACGTCACGTAGCAGCACCAGTGGTACTTGCAGTGGCACCGCTCAACCACGCGATCCGTGTAGGGGTTGTAGCCGCGCCCACAGCACATGAGATCGCAGCTGTCACTGCCATTCGAGGTCTTGTTGCACTGCCTGTGGGGGAGGGGAGGGAGAAGGGGAAGAGGTCGGTGAGCACTCCACCTCCTCAGCCCCTCCTGGAGAATTTTAAAACATCTCACTCCAAGCACTGCTCACTTTCCCTGAATTTACACTAAGCTGTCATCAAAAGGATATGGCTCTTTCACTTTCTTGGAGATGTCTTTTCCAGTTTCTGCTACTTTCTAAACAATTTATTTATGCATTTGAAAGGCAGTGATAAAGGGAGAAACAATGAGAGAGAGAGAATCTTTGTTGGATCACTCCCCAAATGACTGCAATGGCCAGGGCTGAGCCAGGGCTGAGCCAGGAGCTAGGAGCACCATCCGGGTCTCCCACACAAGTAGCTAGGACTCAAGCCCTTGGGCTATCCTCTGCTGCACCCCCCCTCCCGCCACATCAGTGGGACGCTGGATTTGGAAGCAGAGCAGCGTGGATTCAAAATAGGCACTCTGCTATGCATGTGGATGATACAGGGAGCAAAGCTCAGCTCACTAGGCCACAACACCCACCCCTGCTTCTGCACATCTAAATCCTTAAAGGACCCTCAGTCAGTGCACACAGACATCAGCATCAGGCTGGCATTTAGACTGCAAAGGCAATCTGGAAGCACCCACAGCTGCACAGGTTGAGGGAGCCTCGGGCTCAGATGTCTACAGGCCACTTGCCTCCCGTGGGACAAGTGACAACCTTACAGGAGTGGCACAGTAGGAGTGCTGGGTGGGTAGGAGTGTTGTACTCATCACACAGAGGCACACAGGCTCAGCCAAGGGTACCACGCTGCACAAGCTCTCCCCTGAGCCTGGGGATGAACAGGGCACGTGACCCCAAGGCTGCTTCCTGCTCGCTCTGCCCTGAGCTGCACAGAGCCCCCTGGGCCATGTGGGGGCTGCCTTGTGTCCCGAACCCCTTCCATGGGATGAGCAGCCCCTAGAGGACCAGTGAACCTGAAGTGCCCTGTGTTGTCATCAGTTCTTCTGACTGCTGAGAAGGTAGTCCAGTGTACTGAGGCTAGGACCAGGGACTAGGAGAAGTGGCAGGGACGTGGGGCACTGGGCAGGGTCAAAAGACCCACTTCCCGCCCTGTACCTACTGTGAGAACAGAAATGTCAGAAAACGTGAGATGGGCAAGCTGTAGGGGTGACTGCATCCAATCGTCCTATTTACTAACATGGAAACGGGCACAGAATGGAGCAGGGGTATGCCCCAGGTCCTACAGTGCCAACACAGTGTCTGTGAGTGTGCAGAGCGCTTCCTGGAAAAAGAGGGGTTGCCTGGACCAGAAAGGTGAGCTGGAGGAACCTAACATGCACAGAATGGGAAAGGGTAGGGAATAGAGGGGACAGTCCCCGCGAAAGTAAAGGACCTGGCTTGATGCCAGATGAGCGAGAGTGAGAGCAGGAGGCAGGGGAGGAAGTAAAGAGAGGATCAGGTCTGAGCTGGGAAGGAGGGAGGGCCCAGAATCAGCAGGTGGCCTGACTGTGGGGGCCCAGAGCTAGATAGCCCTGGTTCCCAAGCCCAGCTCTGCCATGCACGGGCTGTGTGACTCAGGGCAGTTCTGAGTCACTGCGGCCGCACCCTAAAGGGCTTGGCTGATCCCTCACCTGCACTATCAGTAAACCTGGCCTCCTGTGCCAAGGTAGACAAGGCCTGAGGTGGCGGCTGCACCTGGCAGCTCGGGAGAGGAGGGCTGGGAGCCAAGAGAAGGACCCATGGCACAGGCTGTAAGGTTGGGAGGGGGACGGATTGCAGGGGTATAGTCCCTGATGCCTCAGTTTCTCTGGCCTGGATATGAGAAGGACAGCAGGACACCTTCCCTGGCTGGGGAGCCAGTCCTGACACCATGGTGCACCTGCCTTGCACAGTCATAAAACTCACTCTCATGCAGCCCTCTGCAACCCCACATCCCCTCAACCAAACAAATGCCTCATCTCTCTTCCTCCAGGAAGTCCTCCTTGATGTCTAGGCTGTCAGGATCCCCATTGTCCTGCCCTCACTCTTGGGCTTCCCTCTGCCACAACCTGAGCTCATGGGGGTCTCCCTCCAACCCCAATTCCCTGTGGCTGCCAGGACCAGGCAGAGCTATGGCTTCAGAGAGAGCGGGCAGGAAGGAAGGAGCCATGGTCATAAGCCCCTGAGTTACTGGGGTCACCTGTAACTGCAGCCCAGAGCCAACCTACACAGAGGCAGCTGAACCTGGCAGGAAATCAATGAGTGCAGGGCGGAGGGGAGGCGGGGACAGAAAGGGCAGTGGACAGTGCAAGTCCTGGGCAGGAGGGAGAAGCGGTGATAGCAAAACCAGACATGATTCACCAAGGCCTGTTAGCTGGGGCTATCATCCCCATTGCTCAGGTGGTAAGACTGAGCCCCAGATCAGCCAAGGATTTGCTCAAATTAACGCAGCTCGGGAGCCATGTCCTGGTTGGAGTGCACGCATGTGCGTGTGCATACACACAGAGCTGCTTACAGATTCAAGGGGACCCTCTCTTGGCTCTGGGGTTCTCACCAAGCTCTCCCAGTCCCTTTGTGTTCTGGAAGTCACTGCTGTCACCTCCCCATTCATCATGCCTGCCCTGCTGCTGCCTTAGCCGAGACGCTCTGAGCTCCGGCCCCTCTCCCTGACCCGGATCCACTTTCCCTGGGCCCAGCCCCCTCAATGTGGCCTCCAGATGGGAGCCCCGGGCCCTCTGCACACAGCCTGCCCCCTCCCTGGCTGGAGACAGGAACTAGGCTGTGGAGGAAGCTGCTGCTGGCTGGATCCCAACAATGTGCCAGACGCCTTCCCCGACACCCAGGCGCTCTCAGCCCCACCCGCGCTGGGACTCCCTAATGAAAGAGTTCCCCTGGCCAAACACCTCTGGGGGCCACATGCTGCACTGCGTAGGTCCTAGGGGCCTTTCCTGGGTCCTGTGCCTGGCACCTGACCAGCTGCACTGGGTTCCAGAATGGTCCTTGTTGGAGCCGGGCTCAGGTCTGGCTTTCTGCAGAACCCCATACTCTATGCGCAAGGAGTCTGCAGCCCCCACCTGCACCCTGCCCTGGGCCAGTTGTAGGGACCCCATGCCTGGCTCTGACATGGGGAGGGGCCAGGGGTACCCAAGAGGTTGTTGCAGCCCGAGAGAAGGGCGCATACACTAATGCCCATTGTGGGGGATAAGACATGTGTGCCCTCCTTGAATTCCACAGACTCGCTGGGCACCACTGCCTCCAGTGCTGGCACTATGGCATGCCCCTTCACTCCTCCTGCCCCTTCTTTGATGGGTGCCTGCTGGGTACCCACATTCTATGGAGCAGCATCTTTGCACCCTCCTGTCTCCCAGTACTGCATCTGAAGGTGGGGTGGGGCCTCTGCCAGCCTCCATTCCCCAGTGCCCCCCACCTGGACACCCCAGGACCCTGGCACCTTCCCCTGATCATTCCCCAGCCATCAGCAAGCACGTGCCCAGGCCTGGCAGAGTCGACTCTTACCTGTCTTGTGTCCCGTGCGAGCCCACCTTCTCATTCTTCATGCAGAAGTCAGGCGAGCTCTGCAGGTAGACAAGCTCCGAGTCCTTCACGGGCCGAATGTCCAGGTCCTTGGGCACCAGGTGCTTGCGGGTGCCCATGGGTCTGTGTACCACCTTGGTGGCCGACAGATAGCGGCTCTTGAGGTCAGCGGCCACATCCCGCAGCTCCTGTAGCCCCTTCCAGCAGGTGCGGATGGAGCAGGAGCCCGACACCCCGTGGCACTTACACTTCATTTCCAGAGAGGCACGCAGAGCCTGCAGACAGGGGAGGGCGCTGGGCTGGGCGGCCACAGCCTTCCCCAGGGAGGGTAATGCCCCGGGGAACCCGCCCCACCCACCAGGGGGCTGGGGAGCTGGTAAGGGAGGCAGGGCCAGCTCAGGCCTCCAGGGGGCGAGCTTTTGTCAGCCAGCCTGGCCTGTGGGGGGCAGGGGAGCAGGGAGGAGTGGGAGCAGTGGCATTTGCAAGGATTCACAGATGCCTGGGAGTCAGTGACTGCCAAAGAGCCCTTTCCTTCCCCTTTAAGGATTCGGGTCAGAGGTTCAGAGAGGTCATGTCTCATGCCCAGGGGTGCACAGCCAGCAACTGCTAGAGCCAGGGTTTGAACTCAGGGTCAGGGGAACTCCAAAAGCCAGGGCATGGAAATGTCCCACACAACTTGGTGGTGAGGAGCAGGGAATTCTCTCAGTGAGAAAAGAAGCAAAAGAGAGCAGGGCATGGAGTGCTTGGGGACATGGTCCTCTATGTGCTTGGTCCCTCCCCCACGGCCAGTGCATCAGCCAGGGCGCACCCCTGATTGCTGGGCACAGGCCGTCTCCTAGATGTTTGTGAGCTATTCTGAACTGGAGTCCATTTTGGTTTTGAGAAACATGTTGAAGTAGGGCCTGGTGGACAGCAGATCGGGGTGGGGGAGACTCAGGGGCAACCTCGATTGGAGAAATGACCTTCTCTGGGCCTCAGTTTCCCTGACTGCACCACAGGGTAGGAATTAAGGGCCTGCTAAGGCCCTTCTGTTCTACCTGGCACTTGGCTACCCATGCCCAGGCCCTGCACAGGGAGACAGGTCTCCTGTCTCAGATGGGGAAACCGAGGCACGGAGCAGGCAGGGACATGCCCCAAGCTGGCTCCTGCCGCCTCACTCATGCCTGCAAATGCAGATCCAAGGTGGGCACTTGGGTGTGAAATCTGAGATTTGCTGAGCAGGGTGCGTAGTGTGCTTATGAGGATGGAGCCCAGAGCTGTGGTCACATTGTCAGTGCCCACCTAGTGCATCTGCACTTACTAAACCTTCCTGTGGCCCGGTGTCAGGGACAGGGACAGGCCTGAGAGGCCTCTGAGCCTGGGGACCTCTGTAGACTGCCCAAGATGAGGGGAGGGCTGTGCCCTGAGATGGGGGTGCTCTGCATGGATAGACTGCAGGTGGGCAGCAGAATTTGGCCTCAGTTCTACGAACATTCTAGAAAACTCCCAGGAGCAAAGATACAGAAGCCCCTGGACTTGGGAGTGCTGTGGATCTGGGCTGTCACCCCCATGCTTCCTGCCTCACTTGTTGTCTCTGTAGAATGGGGCTAGCAGGATGCAGAAAGGAGCTAAAGAGGATACAATGTGGGGGTGGGGGCAGTCCCACCCCTCACTGGAGAGGAAGGATGCGGGGAGGGGTTCATGCCTGCCCTGGAGGTAAGAGAACCAGCAGCTTGCAGGTGGGCAACCAGCACTGTTTTGCCATCTTTTTAATTTTCCAAAGACCACATGGTTTGTTCATTCTTTATTCTGATGAGTGGAGGGGTGCATGGAAAACTGTCCCAGCAGGTGCTGGGGAGAGCTGTGCTTGGGGGTGGGCTGGGTCTGGGCGAGTCCTCAGTGCACCTGGGGAGAGGACCCCTCAGCATGCGGTGGCTCTGCTGCCCGCAGCCCTGGCCACGCCTGGAGGACACAATTGCTGGCAAGTTGGCACAAACACTCCTGCCATTGTACACAGGGGAGCAACTGAAGCCAGAGAGAAGGGGACCTGCTGTGGCTAGCTCAAGATGCTCAGCATCAGAGTTAAGGTCAAAACTCAGGAGTCCTGTGCAAAATACCCCAGTCTTAGTGAATAGCCTGGAAGAGGAGGAGGAGAAGGCAAGCCCCAAGCAGCTAGAGAGCGAAGAGCTGAGAGAGAAGTGGGAGACAAATCATGTGGGTGGGGGCCGATCAGGGCGCATTCCCCCCACCCCCATTTGGGCACATGGTGGGGTGGGGGATGGCTCTCTCTAGGCCAATGGCACAAGCACAACCATCTGGGGTGGGTGGGGTGGGTTGGTTACCTGTCTCCCCACTTCACTGTTGTGTAGACGCATCAGTTTATTGGCTTGGGATCCTGTTTTTTTCACCTTCATAGGAGCATCGGAAAACTTGGCCCCCATGAGGAGCCCGTAGCTGAGGTTGTCCGCACATCCTCCCCAGCGGTTCCCGGGCCCGGGTGGCTCACCTGGGACGGGGCCGCATGAGCAGCCGGGCAGGTCGCCAGAGGTGCAGGCCCGGGCGATGGCATGGCTGATGGCGGCCGCTGATAATGCATACACGAAGGCCGACTCCCGGGTCCCTGGGGTGGGGGTGGGGGTCAGCAGGGCACAGGGAGGACTGGCCCAGGGGAAGGAACCTGTCTGCTGCTTCACACCCACCCTGCCATAGGGTTGGCACCAGAGCTGTGGCTATTACTCCTGCCAGCACACTCCAGGCACAGGAACTCACAGCGTGGCCCCTTCTGCCCAGAGTTGCTACTCAGAAGCAAGAATCCAGTCCCCTGGCTCTGTAGAGAACTTGAGGGCCCCAGAAAGATGTGGTCACATGATCCTCAGTATCTGGAAGCCTACACTGAGGTACAACAAACTAAACTGCCACCTGCAACACTGGCATTGCATATCAGCACCGGTTTGAGTCCCAGCTACTTCGCTTCCAATCCAGCTTGTTGCTTATAGCCTGGGAAAGCAACAGGGGATGATCCAAAGCCCTGGGACCCTGTACCTGCATGGAAGACCCAGAACAAGATTCTGGCTCTTGGCTTCAGACCAGCTCAGCTCCAGCCACTGTGGCCAACTGGGAAGTGAACCAGTGGATGAAAGATCCCACTCTTTGTATCCCTCTCTCTATATAACTCTGCCTTTCAAATAAATAAATACGTCTTTTTAAAAGGGGCCCTTGCACAGCAGCCTGGGGGTGAAAGTCTTTGTCTTGCATGCCAGGATCCCATATGGGCACCAATTCTAATCCCAATTGCTCTACTTCTTATCCAGCTCCCTGCTTGTGGCCTGGGAAAGCAGTCGAGGAATGCCTGAAGCCTTGGGACCCTGCACCTGTGTGAGAGACCAGGAAGAAGCTCCTGGCTACTGGCTTCAGATTGGCTCAGTCCTGGCTGATGTGGCTGCTTGAGGAGCGATCCAGCAGACGGATGTTTTTCTGTATCTCCTCCTCTCTGTATATCTGCCTTTCCAACAAAAACAAATAAATCTCAAAAAGAAAGAAACCAGGGTCTTTGCTGGCTAATGGCACAAAGATGAGGTTGTACTGGGTGAGGAGGGCCCATGGCCAATGGCTTGTGCCCACCTAAGAAGGCATTTGGGGCTCACAGCTACCCCCAGGGGAGCCCAGCAGAGGATGGCAGAGGCAGGTGGGATGAGAAGCAGCTGCAAGCTGAGGGTGCTAGGCCTTCTGGCCACCGGCACAGAGTAGGAACCAGCAAGGGGATCCCCTTCCTGGGAACATAATCTGGGTCTCAGCAGGGGGCAACCTGTGGTTGCTGACAAGAACTCAGTGTGGAATGTACTGTGGTTGCAGCCTCAGGAGCCCACGTAGCCCGCGGGGCGCCTGTGCTCCAGCCTCAGCTTCCCTAGCCGATGAGCTGCCCTGGGCCTTTATCCAGTGCCTGCAGTCACCAACAAGTCTTCTCCTGGGAGATGCTCCTTGGACCCTCTCTGCTCTAGGGATAACAGCCTGGGACTTGCGGCCACCCTGGCCCGGGTACACCTGTATGCCCCCAAGGGTGGGACCCTCATCTTACACTCTGAGGAGCCCCTTGCATGTGGCCTTCAATAGAACAAGAGGCAAGCTGGGGTTCCAGGGTTGGGGATCACTCATTCCTTTGCTCACACACTGGGGCCTGTGTGTATTTGAACAGCCATTCATAAGCCCACCCACTTGCCTACACACACACACACATTTATGCCAGATCCATGCTACCCCCTAGCCCCCTACAGCTCCCACAGCATACATCGGTAGCTTCCTACCTCTCTCCAGGTCAAGCAGGTAGTTGGGGGCGAGCTCGATGGAGGAGCAGTTCCAGCGCATGTCGGCAAAGGCCCTGCGACAGGCCTTCATGACCTCACGGGCCGCACGCACCACTGTGTGCATGAGCTCCAGGTTGCTGCGACACAGTTGCACCTGTGCTGACACCAGGCCCTCCAGCTGCTTGCAGTGCTGCGTCTGGTTCAGTGCCAAGGCCGCCGGCGTCTTGGACAGCGCCCTGCATGCCGCCAACAGAAGGGAAGACAGGGCCGTGGGCAGCTTGCACCTGCCCTGCTGGCCCCCAGCTTTCCCTCCTTTGGGTTCCTTGAGTCAAGAAATGAGGAGGCAAGATGCCACCTGGCAGGGTGACAGTCCCTTCCCCACCTCTATGCGACCTTGAGGATGTTAGTACTCATCTGGATCTCAGACGGTCCCGATTCTCAGGGGATGGTGATGGGTCCTGCCTAGGCTTCCCAATGCATATCCTGACACTACCCCGCCCTCCAGCTCACCGAGAACTCACCAGGCTGGCCTGGCTCTCAACTGCCTGTGAAGGACCACGCACTGAGCACACCCGTCCAGACAGCAGGCCCACGGCTTAGGTTAGCACCACGGTGACCAACACTCATACTCACACCCTTGCTGTGTGCACAACGCAGGTCGGGAACTTAGCACCCCTGTTCCCTAGATCACTAAACTCATTCATCACACTGGGAAGTCTCAGATCCGTGTGTTAAAGCCTACAAGAACCAGTGGATTCTAGGATGATCTAGAACCTTGAAGACAGGGGAGTGGCTCTGGATGGAGCCATTCAGTTGCTGTGTGACCTTGGATCCATGTGCTGACCCTCTCTGGGCCTGGTTAAGTGCAGTCTGTGAGACATTCTGACAAAGGGGGTCTATCTGGGAACTACCAGGGCCCGTGCGTGCTCCTGGACAATCCTCATGCTGTTCCCCACGTGGAAGCCCTGCAGGCAGGCACGGTTTGATTCAGTTGACCTTTGAGGCTGCTGAGGGCAGAGCTCCTCCCTTGGTGGTCGGGGGGAAGGTACTGGCCTCCTACATGCTTAGGAAGGTGGGGCCTGCTCCTGCATTGGGCACAGGGGCTCCAAGGCTCCAGCACCGGGTCCTTCTAGAACCTGCCATTCTCCCAGGACCATCAGTCACAACCCCATGGGCTTGGCTCCAGTCCCCAGCCACTGCTCCAACCATGGTAGATGGACCTCAGGTAGTCAGAGCCCTCGGCCACTCAGCGGAGACACTGGAGGAATTTGGGGTCCAAAGAAGGACACACTGTGAGCAGTACTGGGTGTCCCAGGTGGACACAGTGATCCTGGAAAGCTCCATGTTTCAAGCCTCAGCCCAGCCAGGTGCCACTCTCGCCCCAGGTGATGGGCGAGTATGGTGGTAAGGGCAAGGTGCTACACCCCTCTCCTCCCCCTTACCTCCTGGCACCACTGTGTCATTCACAGGTGAAGGCTGACAAGGGGCATTCCTGACTCTGCCTGTGATCAGTGCTCAGACCCTGTCCACCCGGTCAAGGCCATGGGCTGCCACCTGACAGTCCTCTCAATACCCGGCCTCCTGGCTGGGCCCGCTGCATGTCCTAATGTGCAGGCACAGCAAGCTCCCAGCCTCTCTCCCTGAGCCGGTCCCACACCAGGCCTGACCCAGGAAGGCCTCCCACCCTCCTGCCATACCAGAAGGACTAAGTGCACTTGACCCAGTCATAGGAGAAATTATTTGTTGGTGGTCATTCCTCTCATGCTCATTTGAGACATAACACAGACCCTGACCTTGAGGAGTATCTGAGAGCTGGATAAGCCCACCAACGATTGCAATGCAGAGACACAGCTGTCCCTGCTTCTGGGCTGGCACAGCGGCTGTGGGCACTAGCTGTATAACCCACAAGTCACCCAACCTGTCGAGGCCTCATGTCTTTGAGTGCTATAAAGTGCTCTAGGGAGACCGAAGTAAAATGCATGCAATTATCTGGAATATTCACAGGGTGCCCCTGCTCACTGGGCCAGAGGAAGTGAAAACCCAGGTGGATTCTGTCTCAAGCTCTGCCCTTCTGCATACTGGGCCACCTGGAACAAACTGCTGTCCCTTCCGGAGCACCAATTCCAAACTGAACACCGCAGGGGCTGTTGGACGCTGGAAGAGATGCCTCGTGTGAGCAGGGACAGGTCTGGCGGATTTGGATGGTGGTGTTCTACACAGGGCTGTCCATGGAGCATCTTCTGATGAGCTGCTCTGGTCCTGCCCACCTCCCATTTCTGGGGAACCAGCTATCTAAGCCCTTACAGCCCTTGCTAGGTGTGCTTGTGGCCACCCTGCGACCAGTGTCAGGACCTCAGCAGGCTCCTGGGATGTTTGAAGTCTCCCCGCCTCCACTCCACACACACAGCTTACAGAGCTGCTGGACAGTAGCAGCCCCCGTTAGGTCATTTCTCAGCTCTGATCCCCCTGGGGGTGGCCTGGAGCAAGGGGTGGGGAGCAGATGATCCCCTCTATGAACTACTGAGAGCTCTGAGGCTGGGCCCAGCATCCTCCAGCAAGGCTCCGCACCCCACTCCAGTAGGGGGATTTGGCCTCTCCTGCCCGGGGTCCCCCATGCTCTGCCCAGACTGATCCTACCTTGCCCTTCACCTGGGCCTCTGAGCCACTTCCAGGGGAGCTGCATAAGACAGTGCCTGGCGCCAGCTGTTGTGGCTCTCAGAGAAGGCTGCTCTGTGTCCCTGGCAGCCTGTGGTCTCTCTGGCTTGGGGACCCTGCGGGAAACCACAGAGCCTGCAGCTGTGCCCCTAGTGGTGTTGAGAAGAGACACAGCAGTGGGTACATCCTAATGATGAGGCTGACTCCCCACAGGAAGCTGCTTTGGAGGTGCCTGGAGGACCCAGGGCAGGGCAGAGGTCTAGTGGTCCCCAGGCCTGGGGACTGAGGGAACTGCCAGCTGTTTGCGGGGACTGAAGTGCCAGCGTGGCCAGGACAGGAGCAGCCAGCCCTGGTCTGCCAGGGGAGCAAGCAGGTGGAGGCAGCCGACTGTACTCCAGCGGAGGGCCATGCGGTCAGCTGGTAATTAGTGGTAATGACCGTTTGGAACTAAATCCCCCTCAGGGAGGTAATCAGGGATTAGGGTGGGAGGTGGGGGGGTCGCCTGTGTGGACATGTCTCCCTACACAGACCCCCTAATTGGAAACATTTTGCTCTATCTGGGGGCTGGGGATGTGGGGGAGAGGGTGGAAGAAAGGACAGGAGGGAACGCAGAGTTCACTGGCTTGGCTGTTGGCGGTGGCTGATGGCACGTCTCCTGGGACTGCCTCCAGGCAGAGACCTGAATTCAAGCACTGGCTCAGCCACTCATCCTTCCAGCTACCTCTGCCCACCTTAGGCAGGTCACTGACCCCTGTCCTGCCTCAGTTTCCCCATACACCTCAGCACCAAAGGCTCCAACAACAAGGGTGTCTCTGGGTAAGCCCCACTCAGTCAGTGGTTTTGCCTTCCAGCCGTGGGCTGGCGGCAGCCCATCTCCCAGCCTGGGTGGTCCTCCCCACTCTTGCCTCCGGGCAGGGCCATGTCACCTCCTGCTGGCTTCCTCCCCTACAGCCTGCCACTGAGCTGTTTTCCTGGTGTTACCAGAAGCCCCTCCCTTGGAGCAGCTGTCAGGTCCCCTGGCCCGAGTGAGGTCCACTCCCAACCAAGAAGAGCATCTTTCCAGGGCCTGCCTCCAACACCATGAATTCGAAGGTGTCTGTTCCAGTAGCCTCACTGGGATTCCTTTAAGTGGTCTGGGCCTGGGTCTTCCTCTGCCATAGCAGCTGCTCACAGAAGAGAATGTTGTCGCCCACTCACCCATTCTGTAGCAGGTGCCACTCCAGCAGGGTGTGGCTTAGGCCACCCCCAGAGCCATCCAGACGGGGCTTCCACCCCAGGGGAGCTGGCATGAGGGCAAAAATGGCATGGCAGTGGGAAGGGCCTCACATCATTGTCGGAGGCTACAGGGATGGGTCCGGCTCTTCCTGCCCCCTGCCTCCAGCTGGCCGGCTGTTCCCATCTGAGGAAGCCCTAGATTTGCGCCCTGGGCCCTGCCAACCCTGGGTGGGAAAGCAGTGAAAGTCTGGTCCCCACACCAGACCTCTGCTTGCCCCTGCCTCATCCCTTTGGGCTCTCCTGGGTCATACACCATCCTGGGTACCCTGGGACAGTGGGGCAAGACCCTGACTTTGATCTGCTCAGGCATGCCTAGCTTCTCTCAGGCTCTCAAAACCTCTGGAGTGGCCTTAGGGAGGTCCCCTCAGATCACATCGCAACATCCATGTTGAGGACCCCCGGGCCGACCCCTCCTCCACAAGCTGCTCCAGTCCACAGCCAGAGATCATCTGGTTGCCTCCAAGAGGGTTGTCCCAGCACTCAGAGCCAAGAGGGACCCCTCCATTTCTTGTCCCCAGTTGTGCTGGGGACGTGGAGCCTCTGGACCCTGTAGGCCACCCGTGCTGCTGCTGCCCAGGGAAAATCCTAACCAGGCTGCTCTCTGTACAACGGGGACAAAGTGAGGCCCACAAAGGGGCAGGGTTCAGCCAGAACCATGCCTCCCAGACCCTAGCCTGGTGCCCTTCCCACACCCATTTCAGAGTTGGGGCACTGAGGCTTCTGGCAGGGGGCTTAATAGGACTGGGGCTGGCTCAAACCCTGTCCCACTCGTTGCACTCCAGCCTGTGGGCTACGGCCCTCCAGAGTCTCTAGGGCATCAGGCCAGGAGAAGGCAGGCTTTAGGGATATCTGCAGGATGAGACTGCCTCAGCCCCTGCCCCCAGAGTGGTTCAACAAGGCAATCTTCTACGTTGCACTGCCAGCATCCCCCTCTCAGGGCTGGTTCTAGTCTTAGCTGTTCCGCTTCCAGTCTAGCTCCCTGCTTACAGACAGAAAGCAGTGGAGGATGGCTCAAGTCCTTGGGCCCCTGCACCATCCAAGGCACATACCGCTGGACGCAGCTGCCTGGTCAGTTCCACCAGACCAGGTCTCCCCTTCCGCTTTGCTGGGAACCTCCCAGGGCCTGGCAGGGAGTAGCTAAGGGATGTAGGGCTGGGCTAAGACAAGGGAAGTTTCCTCAGGTCATCCCACGGGCAGCCATGTTCCTATCCCCTCCCCTCCAGTGCCCTTCCCACCTGCTCGGGCCCCGGGTGTCCACCAGGTAGGCATTCCAGGTCACTCGGCCACATCTGGTCTCGGTTTCCCCATGTTAAGCACCCTTTCTTCTCCCACTCGTCTTCCTAAGCCGAGGACAGCGGTGGCTCCTGGATGAGTCCCCAGTCTGCCTCTCCCACTATACACGTCTCTGTCCTCCATTGCTGACCTGTTCAGGGTCACACAGATCTCATGGCACCTTGCCAGCCACAGAATCCTAAGCCCCCTCCCTGCCTGTGCTGTGGGGGTCATGGACAGAATGTCATCTTACAGGGTAAAAGGTGCCCAGAAGCAGGTCGGCCAGGCCACTCTGCTGTGCATATGTGCATAAAGAGGCATCAGCACACACTTGCATCTAACTGCTGTGCTTAAATAACACCCTTCCTGCCTGCCTCCTCCTTCTGGCCAGAGCTTCGCCATTACCACAAGCTCTGGCCTGATTCTCATCCCACAGCCACCAGCTGTGTGGCCTTGGGGGGGTGCTTCACAAACTCTCTGCCTCTTTAAAAAAATAGCAATGACAAGCTTGTCCTGACAGAGACTCTGCTCAGTTCGGAGGTCTCCAAGCCCACCTGCTTCCATTCCAAGCACACGAGGCCTCACCCATCCCACTCCCGACTGCCCCCAAGCCCAGCCCGGCCAGCTTTCATTCCAGCTGAAGATCCTGCTGCCCTGCCAAGCCCAGCCCGGCCACCTGCCTCCCATGAGACCAACCACTGCTCCGCTCAGCTTGCACACTGGCTCTGAGGCACAGACTGAAGCCTGCCGGAGGGCTTGGGAGGATTCACTTTCCCATGAGGCTGGGAGCGTCTTCAGGAGAAATACTTACAGGGACACAGTCCATTGCCCATCTCAGTGTCCACCTGCTGGGGTCTTCAGCATTCCCAGGGCACAGCCCCTACAATGCCCTTGCCCAGTCTCAGGCCCCGGGGCACTCGTGCAGCCTTCCCTTCTCTATACCCCAGTTGCCTCAGCTGCTGCGTAGGGGGAGGCAATGCAGGGGCTTCCTTGCAGATGGCCAGCAGCAGCCGGAAGGTGGCTGCCTGGGAGGAGCAGCCTCCTGGGGGGCATGGGAGGAGGGAGCTGGGAGCCTCCTAGACAGCAAGATGCAGCTCCTCTCCCCAGTCACCAATTAATCGGTAACTTGGCGCTGGGGGGGGGGGGGGCGGGCCCAGTGACCTCCAGACTGTTTGCCAGCTGCTGTGCTCTATCTCCCCATCTTCCACCTAATCCCCAAACCCTCCACAGGGCCTCTCCCCAGCCCCCCTAAAGTGCAACACACATACCTTAACCCCCATCCTAAATCCACAGCCGGGTCCTGGGCTGCACTCTCCCACTACCACGGCCCCATCTGCCAAACTCCAGGAACCTTCGGAGGGCTTAGGGCACCACTAGGAGCCTGGGTCCAGCAGGCAGTTGCCTGCCCCTGAGTGTCCACGCGGGTGTCCCCTAGGACACGGGACGTTGGCAGAGTTATTTACGGCCTGGCCTTATCTCTCCCAGCACAAAGGGCAGCTCCTTTGGAAACAGGCTGAGTTTTCATTCTGCTCACCACTCCGCTCGCCACCACTGCCTGCTGCTGCAGGACCTGGGACCCGCAGCTCCGGCGCAGGCCAAGGAGGCTGGCTGCATCTCTCTGCTACTTGCATCTCTCTGCTAAAGAGCGGCGGCAAGCCCTTGTGCAGAGCCTGCCAATGCGGAGTGGGGCTCTGAGCAGCAAAGGAAATTGGTCGAGAATGACATGGGGCACCCCCCCAAGGTCACTCAGGTGGACAGGGCAGGCCCGGCTCTGTGCACTGGCCGCTAGGGTGCAAACACTGACAAGGAAACTAGCAGGAGCCACCAAGAGCAAGGCGCCTCGCGAGGGTGCCCCTAGACAACGGCGTGGGGAAACTTTGCAGGCGCACCTCCACCGCAAGCCTGGGAGAAGTGACCAGAGCGCTTGACCCGCCAAGACACGGAAGCTGCAGAGTAGATGGCCCACGCTCACCCCGTCCCCGCCACCCCTCGGGGATCCCTCCCCCTGCCCTAGGCCGCCGTGCGGTCCCTACTTACAGCCACTTGATGCCGTAGCACACGCCGGTGTGGAGAGCCAGGGCGAAGAGCAGCGCCTCGCAGACCTGCGGCCTCGCCTTCATGGTTGCGCGCCGGGCGCCGGGCTCGCAGCCTGCAGCCGCCGCGCCGCCCGAGTCGGTCCCGCGCGCACACCGCCTGCAGCGGGGAGAGCGGGGGCGGCGGGTTAAGGCGGCGCGCGCGGGATGGGGAGGCGTTTATTCAAATTACAAAGGAGGGGCGGCCCGGGGAGGCCGCGCGCGGTCCACCCCCGGCCCCCACGCCACCCGGGAAGCAGCCGGCGACCGACTCGGAGGAGGTGCGGCCGCCCGAGGGCGTGTCCGCCTCCGCACGCGGCTTGGATCGCTGCTGGGACCTCAGTGGCTCTGCCAGGCGGGACACAAGCCGACAGACGTGGAGTTCAGGAAGAGGCGCTCCAAGCACGCGGCCCGGAGCCCCGGAGCTAAAGGACAGGAGTGGAGCAGAGGGCCCAGAATTTAGGCTTTTGTTTCCCGCAACACTCAGCCTTGGCATTTCTCTTTTCCCGCTGGGTCTCGGTGTACCATCTCTGTAAATCGGGGCGATCCGTGCACAAGTCCCCCTCTTAAAAAGAGCGTTCGCCCAGCAGCTCTGCTAGCCGTACTCGCTCACTGGCCCATTCCCACGGGAAGGAACACTGAGGTCCAGACTTGTACCAGGGGCTATTCCACTTAGCTTAGGGCACGGCAGGCTACACAGGGCACTGCTGTTGATGCCTGGGAAGACGAAGGCGGGAATGGCGAGGCCGCTTGGCGTGGTTCAAGGTCCCGGGTTTCCGAGGCCGCCTGTGAGCCACGGGCTTTGCTGGGTTCCAGGGGGCCCCGGCCGGGCTGGAGGCGAGGTGAGACCGGGCAGCTGGCCCGGGGCCGGGGCCAGCCGCCAGGCGGAGCCCTCGGACAGCACAGCAGCCGCCGCGCCTCCCCTCCCGGCGCCCGCACCGAGCTGCGCTCTCCTGCCTTTTCTCTTTCTTCCCCCTTTGGAGCTCTTCATTCTCACCTCATTAATTCCCTTCCCAGCTTCTCCCAAATTTACCGACACACGGCGTTCGCCCGGAGGCACGCAGCCTCACCCTTCTCCCTTTGGGAGGAGCAAAAAACAAAAGGATTCCTTTCCAAAGGATACGTGGGGCGTTAGGAAAAAGGGGGACGTCGGAGAGGGGGCCCTGCGGGTGCTCGCAACCCTCCAGCCTCTGCGGCCACGGTGACGGGCGCCCCTTCTGCCCGATCCGGGCCGGGTGTCACCTTGCATCTCCCAAGGTCTTCCCACAATCGCAGTCCCCCGGACTGGTACGCAGGGCTGAGCCGGCGCGTGTGTGCCCTGCGCAATCATCCGGCACCCCGCTGTCTGCTGGCATTCGTCCGCACAACTAGAGGAGGGCGACGCAGGGTCCCCAGCGAGGCGCCCAGGTAGAGCTCAAGGCAAACGCACTGACCCAAGGCCGGGGCTCTCGGCGTGCCCAAGCGCCCCCCGTCTCCGCCCCGCACCAAATACGCCCCGCACCAAATACCCAGGCCCTTTGTCTGCCTGGTCCCGGACGCTAGCTGCTCGTTCTCAGCGCAGGACAGCGCAGCTGGGCGTGGGGGGCGGGACGCCCAGACTCCCACAGCAGCTCCCACCTCTCCAGAGTGACTGCGCCAAGCGCTCAGCATTCCGGGGTGACAAGGGGGAGGGGACCCGCTTTCAGCCCCCTGGGTCGCAGAGCAGACCCCATCCCCGACCTCCAGCTACTCCGGCGACTTCCCGAATGCCACCCCCTCCCCGCAATCCCAGGCGTATCTCTCGGCCGCCCCAGATCGTCACGGGGGTGGGGGGGGAAGGCCGCGCTGACCTGGGCCTGTGGCTGTTGACAGACTATTCCTGTCCACTGTGAAAGCTGCCAGGGCCAGCCGAGCGCACCGCGGGTCACCCTTGGTCTGCGTGCGTCCGCGGTTTGGGACGCTCTGGCTGCGCGCCGGGTCCCCATTCCGCCAGGTGGCGCCAGGCGGGGCGTTCGCGAGGGCATCGGCCGCTGCCCGCCGGGCAGTGACCCATGGGGAACGTCTCCTCCGCTTCCTAGACCCCCGGATCCGCGAGTGGGGTAGCCTAAGGCGACGGGCCCTGGACCCTCGCCGCGCTCAGCCCGGGACCACCCGACAGCTTCGGGCCCGGCGCGCAGAGGGCCAGCGTCACAACGGGGTCCCGGGTGAGGTGATGGCCCCCTCCGCCACACTGAGAAGCGGGTTCAAGCCTCCCCTCCGGCAGCGGGGGGGTGGGGGGGTGAGGCCGCCGGACTCCGCACGCGCCTAGCCTCGCGTCGCCAGCAGGTGGTCTCTGCTCGGAGTCACTAAGGTCTCAGGAAACCTCGCCGACGGGGCGGCTTCTCCTCCGAGCCAGGACGGCTTGAGACAGCGCCCAGGCTTTCAGACCCGCGACGCGCCGGGGGCAGTGTCCACACCGATACGCCAGAGGCCGCTGCTGACCCTCGTGAGCCAGGCTCCCGCGTCAAGGTTACCTGCGAGGCCGAGCGAAGGCCGGCCCCAACGCCCGGCTTGGACCCTGGCCGCGGGGCTTGGCAGGCCGGGCCGCTCCGCCGCGGCGCCGGTCACCCGGGAGACGGGTTGTTTTGGAAGTGGGAACTGCGGGACCAGGCGCCCTGGGGACCGTGAGGGACACGGAGGCACCGCGGGAAGCGGGCGGGGAGCAGCGTGAGGGCTCTTGCACCAGCTCAGCTAAAGGTGCAGGAGGCTCCATACCCGCTGTGGGGCCGGGGCTACCTCCTCCTCACCCCCAGCCCGGAGCTCAGGTCTGTAAACAAACTCATTTATGCCCCTTTCTCCCTCCCTCCGCCGCGGTGGGGAGCCATTATCAAACTCCGAAATCCGCCGCCACCTCCCAGTTTGGTGGGAGCCACCGGCCTCTCTCCGCCTTAAGCCATCCTCTCCCGCCGCGTCTCACCCACGCCCTGTGCCGCGGGACCTGAGGCCCCCACCCCCAGGATGTCTAGGGCATGACCTCATCCGAGGGCCGACTGGGAAGAACCGCGGGACCAGGAGAGTTGCGGAGACTGCGGGCACTTCTCAGCGTCCCCAAGTCCTCATCTACCAGAACCCGCGTATCCCCAATCCCCGGTCTCCGGGCTGTTCTCGGCTGAGGACTCTCGAAGTGCTACGAAGGACACTTCGGTTTGCTTACCCGGGAGTGGGTGCCCCGAGGAGTGGCGGCGGGTGTAGGAAGCGCTGTCCTTACGGCCTCAGGCGTTCCCAGCCCTCCCGGGTCTTCTCAAGCGTCTGCTCGCTCCGGTGACCACCGCTCACTTCTCAAAGAGCTCGTCCTGCGCGCCTTGTTCCGTCTGCCGGCCCGAGGGCCACCAGCTCGACTCTCCAGGGGCTCGAGCGCACTCGGCTGGGCTGGCGATGGGAGCAGGACGCCGGGCAGCCGGGCAGCCGGGCAGCCGGGCAGGCGGCAGCCGGCTCCAGTGCAGCGCGCACGCTCCGGCGCGCACTAGGAGGGTTCTCCGCTGCGCTTGGATCCCGGGCCGTGCGCTCGCCCGCTCCTCCCGCTCTCCGGCGCCGGCCTCCGGGAAGGCTTTATAAGGCACGGGCGGCCGCTTTGATCCGCCCACGTCAGCGAGCCGAACCCCACCGGGTGGCTGGGCTGCGCTGGAGGGGGGGGGGCCGGGGCGGGGTCCCTGAGGACGCCAGGGACCCGGCGCCAGCGCCGCGACTTCTACGGGCTGGCCGTCCCACGGAATTAAAAAGGGGGCTTGGCCCGGCGGCCATTGGCTGTGCGTGCGGGGCCCAGGTGAGGTCGGTGTCGATCCCCGCAGCAGCCCCAGGGAAGTCCAATTTGGGTATCACTGAGTGCCCACGCTTCGTTGGGTTCCCTCCTGCAGTTTGATCACTACAGGCTGCAGAGTCTGAAAACTCTGCAGACTGAGTTTGTGTCCCAGTCCCCACCTCTCCAGGCCTCTGGTTCTGGTCTGGAAAAGGGATCAGTGGGCACTCAATGTGCCCAAAGTTCTGTAAACCTCAGGCTCCAGGCCTGGCCGGGCGTCCCAGCTAGGGGAGTGATTCCTGGGCAATATGCAAGATGCCATCAAGGCAGCAGAGGCGTAAGCTTCAGGAGCTGACAGTGCAGCCCAGCCTCAGCGAGCTGGGCTGTGTTTCTGGGGATCATTCTCACTGGGCATTCCCTGAGCAGACCTGCGACTCCTCCTCCTCCTGTACCCCTCCCCTTCCTACCTGCAAGGCAGGTGCTTATTTCCTCAACTTTCAGTCTCTTATAGGTCTGCAACAGCCACACACATGTCATTAAGGTAAGGCTGACACACACTGCCCCCACCTGCAAGGCATGCCTGCACACACCTGTGCTTCCAGGCACACAATGAGGACACACGCAACTCCCAGGTATGACACGCTAGGTCCACCTGTGCTCCTGCACGGTCATCATGGGAAGGCTGTGGGATTTTAGACGGGATGTTTAGTAAGAGGGAAGGATCAGCCTGCTGCATGCAAGAACCTGACCAAGGGCCTCCAGGGGCTCAAGAGTGTCCTGGCTGCCCTGGCCCCTGGCTGGAGCCCCCTCCCATCCCTGGCCACCACTGTCAAGGCCATTCCAGGTGGACAGTCTGACTGGGGCACACTCCCCTCTTGCTCATCTGACAAGCTGCATCAGGTGTCCTCAAACATTGACTAACTGGTCCTTCTGCCAGAAATTCCCTCCCAGCTCCCAGCCAGAAAATGCCCTGCTTGGAGCTCAGCCTGTCCCCCAGGTGCCCTGGAGGAAGGGGAGGACTCCAAACGGCTTTCTGGACACTGGGTTCCAATACAGATTCTGTCTGACTTGCCTTGTAGCTTGGGAATCTTGAGCAAGTTGCTTAAACACTCCCAGACTGTTGACTCACCCATTCAGTGGCATTGACGTCATCTGCATTTCCCCAAAGCAGGCTTAGCATCCCCGTTTTGCAGATGCACAAACCGAGGCTGCAAAGGAGGTAGAGGCAAGTGCTCAAACCGACATCTGAAGACCTTAAGTCCCAGGCGGCAGTGAGGGTTGGGGACCCCGCCAGGGGAGGGTGTGCAGTGGGGGCAGAGGGAGAAGTGCCTTGAAAATCAGAGGGAGACCTGGGTCTGCCCCACCTCATGCCAGTGTCCCCAGCTGCTTAGCAGTGACTTCACGCAGACACTTGCACCAACTTTTACATCCAAGTCTCTCCCACCCTCACCCACCTGCTCTGTGACTCTGTT